ATCAGCGTCAGTCTTCTTCTTGAAGATCCATTTATTCTCAATTGCTTGCCGATCAACGGGTAAGTCAACCAAAGTCCACACTTTGTTCTCATACATGGATCCCATCTCAGATTTCATGGTTTCTAGCCATTTTGCGGAATCTGGGCTCACCATCGCTTCTTCATAGTTTGTAGGTTCATCATGATCTAGTAGCATGACTTCCAGAACAGGATTACCGTACCACTCTGGTGCGGATCTTACTCTGGTTGATCTACGAGGTTCGGTAGTAACTTGATCTGAAGTTTCATGATCATTATCATTAGCTTCATCACTAATTGGTGTAGGTGTCACAGAAACCGGTTTCTGTGATGTACTACTTTCCAATAAGGGAGCAGGTACAGTTACCTCATCAAGTTCTACTTTTCGCCCACTCACTTCTTTCGAGAGAAACTCCTTCTCTAGAAAAACTCCGAATTTAGCAACAAAAGTTTTGCCTTCGGATCTGTGATAGAAGGTGTACCCAGCAGTCTCCTTCGGGTATCCTATGAAGACACATTTCTCCGATTTGGGTTCGAGCTTATCAGGTTGAAGCTTTTTCACATAAGCATCGCAGCCCCAAACTTTCAGAAACGACAACTTTGGTTTCTTACCAAACCACAGTTCATAAGGCGTCGTCTCAACGGATTTCGATGGTGTCCTATTTAACGTGAATGCAGCCGTCTCTAAAGCATAACCCCAAAACGGTAACGGTAAATCAGTAAGTGACATCATAGATCGCACCATATCTAATAAAGTACGATTACGACATTCGGACACACCATTGCGCTGTGGTGTTCCGGGTGGCGTGAGTTGTGAAACTATTCCGCATTGTTTCAAATGTTGACCAAACTCTAAACTCAAATATTCTCCTCCACGATCAGATCGTAGAAACATTATTTTCTTGTTACGATGATTTTCAACTTCACTCTGAAATTCTTTGAACTTTTCAAATGTTTCAGACTTATGTTTCATTAAGTAGATATACCCATATCTGATTAAATCATCTGTGAAGGTGAGAAAATAACGATATCCGCCACAAGCCTCAACATTCATTGGACCACATACATCTGTATGTATGATTTCCAACAAATCCGTTGCTCTCTCCATAGTACCGGAGAACGGCGTTTTGGTCATCTTACCCATGAGGCACGGTTCGCAAGTATCAAGTGATTCATAATCAAGTAGTTCCAAAAGTCCATCAGAATGGAGTTTCTTCATGCGCTTTATACCGATATGACCTAAACGGCAGTGCCACAAATAAGTTGCACTATCATTATCAACTCTGCATCTTTTGATTTCAACATTATGAATATGTGTATCACTACTATCAAGATTCATAAAAAATAGACCACTCTTCAAGGGTGCATGGCCATAAAAGATATTACTCATATAAATAGAACAACCATTATTCTCTAATTTAAATGAATAACCGTCTCGCATCAAACAAGATCCAGATATAATGTTCATGCTCAACGCTGGCACCAAATAACAATTATTTAGGTCTAATACTAATCCCGAAGGTAGATGTAGAGGTAGTGTGCCGACCGCGATCACATCGACTTTGGAACCATTTCCCACGCGCATCGTCACCTCGTCCTTAGCCAATCTTCGCTTAATCCATAGCCCCTGTTTCGAGTTGCAAATGTTAGCAATAGAACCAGTATCAAATACCCAGGTGCTACTTCGAGCATTCGTAAGGTACACATCAATAACATGTATATCACATATACCTTTGTTCACTTTGCCATCCTTCTTATCCGCCAAATACTTGGGGCAGTTCCGCTTCCAGTGACCAGTCTGTTTGCAGTAGAAGCACTCAGTCTTAGGCTTTGAAAGTTGTGCTACCAGTCCACATCCAGTAGAACCCCAAATGTCGAAGTGATCTGATCAAGGACAGACCACTCACACCATTTAGGGTTTAGTTTCCTGAGTTTCAGCTAGACTTCTTGGAGTTCCTCCTCTGTTGTGACATCTCCCAGCCAGGCTCCCACTTTGACCATAGTGTTCTCCTTTGTTAGGCCAAAGCATGGGTAACCAGCCACTTGCTCAACATCAATCTCTGGGGGAAACTTGACCAGAAAGGTCCATTCATCCAGCTTGTTGATTGCCCATGGCCAGTTTGTTTTGTAAATATTAGCAAACTCCTTGGCTAACTCTTGCTTAGTGACCTCCCCTTGCTCCACAAAGACTATTCCAACATTCTTGAGCCAACTCTGATGCTGGGCATTGACATCTGGCATGTCCAAATGGTAGAAGCCCAAGCCGTGTGCAGCACCACCCACATATTTGGTAGCTGAGTGAGGTCTCTTCCTAGTAGGACAATCTTCAACTTTGTGACTGATCATCTTGCAAATGAAACACCCCTTTGGCTTGATGCACTTGTCCTTGTGGTGCCCAGGATCTCCACAATTATAGCAAGTAACACTAGTGTAAGACATCAAGCCTGGGTTGATTTGTTGCTTCTGAGCCACATCTTGCTTCTTTTTCTGTTGAATCTTCCCTTGGTTCTTACTCTGCTGCGAGCTCCCTCCCTGACTGTTGCTGGGGTCCGAAGACTGTCCCCCTGTTTGCCCTTGCATCAGCTACTGTGGAGGGTCGTACCATTGTTGCTGTACACCCCCACGATTGCTGCGAGAATTGGCTAGGGAATTGACCCGGGAAAGCCCATGGTGGGGGTGGTCCTTGGTAACCAAAGCCGAAGAACGACGGCTGCCCCCCCCCCCACCGGCACCCATACCTGAATTCATCTGCTCTTGCTGCTAGTTGTTGGAGTTTTCTTCCCTTCCTCCTTTGCTTCTTCCACGGCCACGGCCTCTCCCCCCTCCATGGTGGGATCCGCAGCGGCAGCAGCTAGGCTTGGTGAGGACAGGGCGGCGGCGGCATTGGGTGGGGAGGAGGGGGGAGTGGAAACCCTAATCTTGTCCCTCCCCCCCCTTCGACGCTTTTTATACCACTCCAGAGTTGACTGTATCTGAGCTCCGCTTCGTCACCATGGCAGGCTGGAAAGCAGCTTGGTGATCTGGAAGCTTTTCCCCCCAAATTTTTGTATGCGCTTTTGGTGCTTATCCTTCTCTGAATCACTCTGAAGCCCGCCGACGAGCTCCATAACTAACATGGCTTCAGTTTCGTCAGAAACGCTCACATCCCCCTTGGCTGGAGCTTAGCAACCTCTCCATCAGATCCATACACTCCTGCGGATGGGCTCGATAGAAGGCTTCCCATCGCACTCTTCTGGATTTGACTCTCGAGGTTCTTGCCGCAAGCGCCCACGCAATCATTTCCGATGGCTGGGTTGCTTGATTTAGCGCAATCAGAGAGAGTTCCTCCTCCTCCGCGTGCATCAGAATGCGAGTCACAAGCTTCTGGGTTGATTTTGTGCCCCTCCTAGGCAACCTTAACTCTATCTGCAGCTTCCTGGTGAGTTCCACAATCAGCAGCTCTTCCGCCACCCGATCTGGTGTTGCTTCTCGCACACTCATGGCCAGAGTGGTAGGCAGAGCAAGCTCGGGTCTCTCCGCCCATGTCCTCTGCAAGGCTCAGCCCGCAATCCACATCCTGAAATCCTGCAAACTCCGAATCCATCCAAATTTGCTTCACCCACTCGTGACACTCCGGTCCATTTGTGACACTATTGTAGGATGCCTCTGCGCTCAGTCCATGGCCGGGTAGGGGAGAGGTATGGCCAGGGGTCGACCTCTTCTGAGTCCGAAGGCGGCGCCGATGGCATTTTCCCCTCGATGCATTCCCAGCTCGCCCGCCTTTGTGGATCTGCACTCCTTGCCTCCGCCCGCGCCCACCTGACTAAATCCTTTGGGGATGCGGTCGGGCATGGCATCCTCCTCTTTCTCCTCCCGACTGCCTTCGAAGTAGATCCTCCTCGCCAGATTGAGGAGCTCCTGATCTGCGGTGTGGCCATAGGTCTTGATTCCCAAGGCGCCCATACCTTCATCTCCGGATCTGGCTCTGCCTCCGCCTTCTGCTGCAGCGCCCTCCACTCCCGTTCGTAGAGGAGATAGGAGGGCACGTCGTCGTGGATCCGCGTGGCTCACTCCGTCCACCTCCGCATCCTCGTCGCCCGCAGCGCCTCCGGCGATACCGACCCTATCGGCCGCAGCATCTCCGGGAAGGCCCGGTACACAAAGGGGGAGGCATGTACGGGATTGTCGAGCCCGGGCGAGGTGGCGAGCAGGTGGATCTGTCGGCTCTCAGCATGTGGGGCGGGGAGGCTCGCCGTCGCGGGGAGATCAGCGGCGAGGTGAGGTGGGTGGGATGGGTGGGGTGGAGTGGAGTCGCGGTCGCAAGTGAGAGCATGAGTCGCCTTATTTCTCGTCACGTAGATCCTACAATTTTTTTTACTGCCTGGTTACCACAATAAATGGATCTGCTGGCCTCTTCACTATTTACGCATGGCCGTGATTTGCCCACGGATTTCAAAGAGGACACGATCCCCTTTTCCTTTTTGCGGGCAGAAGAGGACAGGGTCTCATGGGTTCGTTGGATGGCCAGCAGCTACTATGTATACTCCTGTGCAAAAACGCAAGCGAAGCAAATACTCCGCGCCCATACCTCGGCCAAATTCAAGCCATTTCTGGCTCCATTCACTCGCAAACAACGAAACAGTACTACGCTCCTCCCATGACACCGCAATGCTGCGACACACTGGCATCTTAAAAAAAATGCAGTACTAGTACACCGGCAGCAACGATGGCAGACGCCGTAAATATGCTCAACCAGGCCCCCCATTAAAGTCACTCCGCGAAACAAACCTTATCCACACCACTCCCCCGTCCCTCTCCCGCCGCTATAAAACCCGCCGCTCCACTCCACCAGTTGGAGTAGGAAGAAGAACAAAACGCCATCGCGGTTCACATACACTTTTACACACGGCAGCACACGGAACACGCACACACGTTGCTTGTGCGCCTCCTCCGCCGGATCACGAGCCAACCGCACCGAGGTCGGCGGGGTAAGAGCGCGCGACGATGGCCGGCCGGAGCAGCAGCCGTTCCATGGTGTCCGCGCACCGGCTCTTCGCGCCGGCGCCCGCGCGCACCCTGCAGCACGCGGCCGACCCGGCCCTGGAGCTCGACGAGGCCGACATCATCTGGGGCGGCGCGGCGCTGGCGTCGTCCCCGCCGGCCGACGCGTACGGGCGGGCCCTGTCCGCGTCTACTCCCTCCAGGGCCTCCAAGCCGCGCGCCGCGGCGCCGCGGGATGCCGCCGGTGGCGGTGGCGGCGTCGGGGGCCCGGCGTCGCTGCCCGTCAACATCCCCGACTGGTCCAAGATCCTGGGGGCGGAGTACGGCGGGGGCAGCGCCGGCGCGGGGCGGTGGCCGTCGGACGATCGCGGGGACGCGTACCTGGACCGCGGCGACCGGCAGTGGGTGCCGCCGCACGAGCAGCTCATGTACCGGGAGCGCGCCGCGGCGTCCTTCTCGGTGCGCGAGGGCGCCGGGCGCACGCTCAAGGGCCGCGACCTCCGCCGCGTCCGCAACGCCATCTGGGAGAAGACCGGCTTCCAGGACTGATCCTGATCCGGCCCACCCACGGCGATCGATCGTCCGTCCCCTTACGATTAATTTGATGAGTTTTTTTCTTTTCTTCTACGAGTAGTTTGTGATCGGTGATGAGAATGAGATGAGATGCAGGGAGAGTAGTAGAGATTGGTTAAGCCTCTGGTTTTGGCAGTTTTCCCCGGAGAGGCTGGCTGGCTCGATGTACTACCGCTTAATCGATTGCTCCTTAACAAAGATGATGAGTACGAGTTGTACCAGCAATGTCCATGTGCTGCCCACTGATTTCTTGCTGGTTAACCACTGATCTATAATGATCTGCCATCACCAGCAGTAGTACTAGTACTACTAAAATGATCTGCCACCTGCAGAGAAAACTGGTTGGTGCAGATAGGCGTAGTAGTACTACTGTTTGTAAAGATTCCAGAGAAATTAGTTGTAGGTAGAGTGAGCTGTTGGGATTATTGGCAGAGCAGATTTTCGATTTAAAAAGGGAGCCTAGTCTATCGGGGGAGTTGGGGGCAGATTTGGACGTGCGGAGAATAAAATTTGTAAACAAATCGCATGCGAAATGGATAGGGAAGAGAGAGAGAGAGAGAGAGAGAGAGAGAGAGAGAGAGAGATGGAGAGATGGAGAAAGTGGGAGGGGCCCTGATTGGACGATGGGGGAGAAATGTCGACACTTCGCATTAACTAGTTAGTTCGCCCGCATACTTAACTGCAAAGTACTAGCATTGCCTCCAAAAAGAAGGAATAAAAATAGCGACCCGAGTAGCAGAGCAGGAATATGAACAAACACCTCACGTTTAGTCTTGCAAGGGCAACCAATGGTTTGGTAGATCACAGCTGATGAAGACGTCAGAGAAAGCTACCGGTCAAAAACACCGCGTACACAAGGTCTCGTATAGAATTTCAGCTGTGTTTGTATGACTTTGGACCTCATGCAGCATGTATCACTTTGAAACTCATGCTGGCTCACATTTCTTCTAATGGACCGCCTTTTTTTTAGAATATGGACCGCCTGTTCTAGAAGGTATTTCAGTGCTAGATAGACTAATTTCGGACGAAGAAATAGATCGCCTCTTCTAGAATGTATAGTATAATACCAGTGTTCACGTCTCTTATCCTTCCTTTTCCGCGAGGGAGTACTGAATAAAGTCTCTTGTAATGGAGGGCGTTAGGATATACGGAGTTGCGCTATTGGCATTTTGGTACGAAACCAATTTAGCTCCGTGGAATATTCGCGGCGATAAAGAGATGGCAAAGGAAAGGGAAAGCTCCGGGAAAAGGTAGGTTCAGAGCGCCACTCGGTTGCCGCGTCTGGCTAAGTGAGAGCGACTCTACTGTCGCTCCCTTGCGCGTTAGAAGATCATATCATACGTGCACGTCGTGTTCGCTGCATAAGTATTTGTGTCTGACAGGCAACAGATAATAGGCGTAAAGAAAAGGCAAAAGGAGAGAGAGTTGAGGATTTGACGGCGTTGTTTAATAAGCTGCTGTGGTGTGGTGGCGGAACGCCGCGTTTGCCTGGACCTGGACTTCCGATGGCGATGACATGGGTGGCGGGATAAGACGTACGATCTCGTAAATTTAACGTGGGGGGCGCGCGGTAGATGCCGCTGACCCAGCTTTTGTCGAGACGTGGTGGTACGACGCGGTGTGGTGCTCACTGCTGAGTGCGCAGGCCTCAAAGGCACACGAGGAAGCTTTGTCGTTGTCGTCGTCGACGGAGTAAAGCCCACTCGGTTTTCCCTTCAGCGAAAATAAGCTGCAGAGTATGGTTGGTGTGGTGAAATAGGTGGTCGACCGCCTACAGCTGAAAAGTGCCACTTCGAATACAAAAGTCAAGCTCCAAAGTAAGGGAATCAAAACTGTCAAAAAGCCCGTACCAGTTTGGTTTCCAGCTGATCGGGCAAGGGCAACATGTGTTCAACGCCGTTGAGGAGCTGAGCTGAGCTCGGAACGGAACTCACAAGCGGGCAGCGGCGAATTGTCAGTGGCAAATGCAGAGCACAGAGAAAGTGAAGAACAGCGGAACGATAAAGGCCGGACCCAGTTCGGCCGAAAGATGATGAGGAGGAGGCTACGGCTACGGCTAGGGCTTGCTAGGTGGGCGTTGTCAGTCTGTCAGTCACTACAGCTACAGGGAACTGACACTTTGCAAGCCGACGGATATAACATGGGTTGTTTGCTTCACGCTTATTAGATTCCTATGTTATGTTATGTTGCATCACCATCTGATCTGCGCTACTAATCTAACGGGAGAGACGCCAAACATTGGAGTGTGTCTAGTCCACTAATGACATCTTCAACGCCGACCCACAAACTCCTGCATGCATCCGGATCGTGCAGTCTGAATAGTGAAAATCATTTAACGCGGATTTGTATCGGTCTGTGGGGTGGTCCAGACCTGATTTATCCAGCAAACCGAAGACAAACTTGGAGGGGAGGGTTGTGGGAGTCCGGACCGATTCTACGCTAGTCGGATTCGGGGCTCCGCAGACTCTTGATAGATTTAAACTTCGGGATGTGTGCAAAGAACTCAACCTCCCTAGTCTGCCAACTCGTTGATCTCACAGGCTAGCTCGATGAACTGGAAGGAAATGGGACACAATAGTTTACCAAGGTTCGGGCCACCTTGCGGTGTAAAACCCTACTCCTGCTTTGTGGTGGATTGGCCTCGAGGTGAGCTGGGGATGAACTAGTACAGTGGTAGAACGACCTCATGAGGTGTGTTCTTGTGTTGGGGTGAGCTGGTGAGGGTGCGGATGTTCTAGATCCGGATCCCCTCCCTATGGTGGTGTATAGACTATACTTATAGTGGCCTTGGTCCTCTTCCCCCAAAACGAAGGCGAGAAGGAATCCCACAATGGCCAAATTCGAAGGGGGGAAACTAGTACATCTTATCCTGACGAAAGGTGGTCTTCGCCTGCAAAGCTTCTGGTCGTGACGCCGTGGTGGGCTCGACGATGACCTCCGTCCTGCCGTCCTGGCGGTCTTGTCTTGTTGCATGGAAATGAAAAGCTTTGGTTGATGCCTCGGGACTCCGCGCCTGCGCTTGCCTCTTTAGCACCAAAGAGGAAACCTGCTGTGCTGCGCCCGCTAGCGCCCGCCTGGCCTTGGTCGTCATGGCTTGCGTCATTCGAACCTCACGAGCTGAGGGCTTGCCTAGAAATCTCCGCTCCTCGGGAGCTAGCCTAGGTGGCCACTCTTCCTGGAGGTCTTGGCGTCGTCCGCCTCGCGAGGCTTGGCCCCTCGGGAGGGTCTTGTGTTGTTGGTGCTGAAGATGGGCCGTACCAGGCCGTTGATAGAGCCACACCGTGGGCCGCGGGCAGGCAAGTCTGGGTACCCTAGTTCCTAGGACGCCGGCAGTAGCCCCCGGGCCCAAGGCGCGCTCAGACTTGCCTTTGAGGCGAAGCCAAAGAGTAAGGGCGAACCGCCACGGGCCCTAACCGCCTACGGCCTCGGTCGAGCGTGGCGATTGATGGGACGTGGGTGTCTCCGCTTTCCCATGCCACCTCAGAAACCGTTCGACTCGACGAGAGCATGCTACATGCAAAAAGATCATCATTACTGGTGAGGGAATCCTAGATTAGGGGGTCTCCGGACAGCCGGACTGTTGGACTATGAAGATACAAGATTGAAGACTTCGTCCCGTGTCCGGATGGGACTCTCCTTGGCGTGGAAGGCAAGCTTGGCAATACGGATATGTAGATCTCCTCCCTTGTAACCGACTTTGTGTAACCCTAGCCCCTCCGGTGTCTATATAAACCGGAGGGTTTAGTCCGTAGGACAACATACAATAATACCATAGGCTAGCTTCTAGGGTTTAGCCTCTACGATCTCGTGGTATATCAACTCTTGTAATACTCATATCATCAAGATCAATCAAGCAGGACGTAGGGTATTACCTCCATCGAGAGGGCCCGAAACTGGGTAAACATCGTGTCCCCTGCCTCCTGTTACCATCCGCCTTAGACGCACAGTTCGGGACCCCCTACCCGAGATCCGTCGGTTTTGACACCGACATTGGTGCTTTAATTAAGAGTTCCACTGTGCCGTCACCGTAAGGCTTGATGGCTCCTTCGATCATCGGTAACGATGCGGTCCAGGGTAAGGTTTTCCTCCCTGGAGAGATCTTCGTATTCGGCGGCTTCGCACTGCGGGCCAACTCGCTTGGCCATCTGGAGCAGATCGAGAGCTACGCCCCTGGCCATCAGGTCAGATTCGGAAACCTAAACTACACTGCCGACACCCGCGGAGACTTGATCTTCGACGAATTCGAGCCCGTGTCGGGTGCGCCGCACGATCACGACGAGCATGATTTAGCTCTGCTGTCGGACAGTGTTCGGGAGATCACACCTACAACTACTCCGGCCTTCAATCCGGAGCAAATTGCGCCATCCGAGGACGGAGGGATAGACCCCGCCATGGAGGCCGCACTCTCAGTGGCGATGGAGCCGGATACTGACTTCACCCCTTACGAGAGCCGTGTTGCCGAACCACTGGATTCGTCTCCGGCCACGGACTCCGAGCTGCCTGCATCTGTGTCTATCGAATCCGATTGGGCGCCGATCATGGAGTTCACCTCCGCGGATATCTTTCAGCACTTGCCTTTCGGCGATGTGCTAAATTCATTAAGGTCTCTCTCCTTGTCAGGAGAACCTTGGCCAAACTATGTCCGGCTAGAATGGGATGCGGACGGCGAAGAAATTCGCTGCCCACCCACCACCCACTTAGTAGCCACTGTCGACAATTTAACCGACATGCTCGACTTCGACTCCGAAGACATCGACGGTATGGACGACGATGCAGGAGACGAACAGGAACCACCGCCCACAGGGTGCCAGACTGCCACCTCATCATATGATATATACACGGTGGACACCCGCGAAGAAGGCAATGGCGATGAAACAGTGGAGGATGACCCCTCCAAGAAGCAACCCAAGCGCCGACGTCAGCGGCGCCGCTCCAAGTCCCGCCATAGCAAAGGTAGTGATACCGGCACAAGAGAC